TGTGCATGCCTGTAATCCTAGAACTTTGGAAGCTGAGATGGGAGGTTATAAGTTGGAATTTAGCCTGGAATATGAAGTGAGAGCCCTTTTCAAAAATAATGAGAGAGAAGAAGACAGGCAGAAAAGGAAGAGAGAGGGAGAAGTGTAGAAGTTAATTGAATATGATAACACAAAAGAGTTACAACATGGAATAGTTCTAATGGACAACATGGGCATTTCAATTTTGACATAATTTAGACATATATTTCAATATAGGGAGCAACACATGAGATGCAGCTAGCAATCTAAGCAATAGTGGAGAGGCTACCTTAAATGCCCTTTCCCTATAATGAAATGATGACTACCTTATATGCTATCCTAGAGCCTTCATCCAGCAGCTGATGGAAGCAGAAGCAGAGATTCACAGCCAAGCACTGAGCTGAACTCCTGGAATACAGTTGTAGAGAGGGACGAGTGATAAGCAAAGGGGTCAAGACCATGCTGGGGAAACCCATAGAAACAGTTGACCTAAGCAAGTGGGAGCTAATGGACCCCAGTCTGAAGCTGGGCAACCAGCATAGGACCAAACCAGGACCCACGAACATGGGTGTCAGTTGGGAGGCTAGGACAGTCTATGGAGCCTTTGACAGTATTTATCCCATAGGCTTTGAGCCCATTCCCTATGGATGGATATTCCTTCAGCCTAGATACATGAGGGAGGGCCTATATCCTACCCCAAATGATGTGTCACACTTTGATGATCTCTCATGGGAGGTCTCACCTTTCCTGAGGAGTGGATGAGGGATGGGATGGGATGGGAGTTGGTGGGGACATGGGAGAATGGGAGGTAGAGGAAACTGGGATTGATATGTAAAATAAGATTGTTTTTAATTTAAATAAAAATTTATTTATACAACTTATGTTTTAGTATATATGTTAAAATTAAACTTATAAATCATAATTGTTTGCTTTAATAAATTACAAAATCACTAAAATTCCTAATTAAACGTTTTAAGAAGGTACAGTGGCTATCTCTACCTTACTGTGTAATGGAAATTTTTACAATATCTTTCCTATGTTAAAAAATGAATTCACTAATCCAGCATAGCCCCATTTTCAAATTTCAAATCCATGGCTTTTGGGGGGAACAAATTAGTTTTTCAGCAAATCCTCTTTTAAAATATGAACCCCAAATGCTTTACCATTAGAGTTTGATACAAGGCAGAATTCAGAGGCCCTTTAATTTTTTCATGATAATCTAGAATTTTTATTGGATTCCAAGTAATTTTGGACAATAGACATGATGAACTGTTTTCTCTTGAATAAATAACAGTTAAATTACATCAATGAAATAAAATATACTGTAGGCTTATTACATTGTAAATATTACAGAAGTACTACTTTGCTATAGTAATTTAACGACTGAAGCTACATTTAAGAACAATCTTACCCAGTGCTTGTATACAAAATATTATACAGATTACTGACAAAGACATCACAGAAGTCTCAATGATGCTACCAGCTTAACAAACGTCTAACAGTACAATATTCTTTAAGAGGAAAAGGATGTTCCATTTACAGATACAATAGGGAGATATGTTTTCCACTTGAAACACTGGAAGTGAGAATCAAGATAATCTGGAATTTCAGTTCATATTATTACAAGAAAAGATTTCTTCTCTAGGAGACTCTGATCCCCAGAACCCCTAGAGTTCAGCAAGTTTACACAAAGAATACTTTTTAAGATACCACAGCAATTGAAAGAAACTCTGTCTGAAAAATCACTGATCTGTAAACCACTGCTTCAACATGTGACTTGTTTGTAAAACCTATGTACATACATTCAGTCCAAATCAGTAGATAGAATGTTTTGTGTATATTACAATAGGTATGTTAACATTTTATCAGAAGGCCAGTGCAAAGCAACTGTGAATGGCCATTTAGGAGATTTTAAAATATCATACAAATATACAGTTGAGAGTATGAGAAATCTAATTTTGTGCATGATGTTAGTGGTCTTGGATATGGATATGGAATGGCAGAAATCATTGAACTGAACAGTAACCAGAGACCTAGTTCTCATCTGGTGGTTGGGCCTATTTCCTGCAGAGTGGGTTTAGGCAGCAAAAATTCCTTGGCATTTGATACCAGTTAACCCTGACAGTATCAGGGAGCCTGGGAGTTTCCGTCACAGGCACATGTCTAAGTTGCCCAGATTCGCACTTCTTTTATATATGTTTAGTACATGGTGAAAAACTAGGGACCCTTGTTTAAATGATGCTGTTAGTTCAGGACTAGGTCTTTATTCTGCAGCAACTGGAGAATCGGCTTTTGAAGACGAGAGTAATGGCAGAAGAATGCATGTTCAGGACAAATGTCGGAAGAAAGCAGATAACCCTGATGCCAGAGCATATAAGTGATTAAATTGAAATTAATGAATCTAATTAAGAGTCTGGTTAATGAATGATACTAATGAATGTAATTCTAATTACTATATTCACCAGGGAGAATGTTTTGGTCACTAGAATTAGGAAATGGATATAGGAAATGCCAAAGTGGATCCAACTAATCTTAAGTATTTTTAAATGAAGGTAGTTTGATGCACACATGATAATATTTCACAGATGTTTCTTAGAGTATCAATAAGCACCAAGTGTAGTGCTATCAGCCCCATTGTCCCTTAGCTTATTATATATGAGATAGGTATTGAAAGTTCAATACACTATAAAAATCTACCACTAAAATGGCATCTACACAAATACAGTTTTAAAAGTGAATCTTGAATTTTTTTATATATCTATAAGCAGAATTTCCTACTAATCTTTGTATCTGTGAGAAGAGGTGGTACTGCCTGGTAGTTAAAGATGTGAAGAATGATATTCAGGTTGATGTAAGCCAAGTGGAGATTCCTAGCCCCTGGTGATACTCTGTCAATACCCTTCCTATGAAGTTACTACTCCTGTGTCCTGAGTCCTCATCTGTACACAGAGAAGGAAAGCAAGAGGCTCAGCAGGCAAATACATCCCAGCTTGGTCCTCAGGCCACATCCATCTTACCACTGATAGCAAGAAGGGGCACTGGCCCTTGAGGCCGGGAAATCCAAAGACTAGAAATCACAGGTAGATGCTAGCTCTGCTTCATGCTATGTAGTCTTCAGGACTGGTAAGAGTATGTACAAGGAGGAGAAAGTCTAAGTAGAACTTAACAGGAGCAAGTGGCTTTTTAAAAGCAATACATCTCCGTGCTGGAAAAGGGCCCAATTCAGAGCACCATGGCAGAGGCGCCAATCAGAAGCTAGCAACCCTCGTCTTTACACTGTGGCAAGTCCTGATACCAGCAAGTGGAGGCACTGCCTATTCATTAGCCCAGACTCACCTAAACAAGGCCAGCCATGGGGCTGTCCCCAGCTTTCCACTACCCTTTTGTCATACCCCCTGGCCTGCTCACCCTCTGTAATCAAATGGCTGGACCTGGGGACTAACATGCTGTGCGCAGTGCTGCTTAACCTGGGGTCTGACTGCCTACGTGCACCACTGAAACTCATTTCTGGTAGGGGATTTGAAGGTCTTAGGACATCTCCCTCTTACTGATTTTCATTCCCACGAAGGAAGTTGATCACTGCAAGGTGGTCACCATCCCCCACACTCGCATGCCCCCGGGGAGAATCCTCTAAGTTTTTGCACCTCTTACTGATAACTCCTTGCTGAACGCTGGCCTCATGGAACACCTAAAGGTCATCAGAACACTAAATCCAGTCGCTTAGGTGGGAAGATTTTTCTGAAATGTTTTAGTCAGAATTTTTACAGACAAGGTTTCATGAAGAGCTTGATTTTAGAAATTGAATTCATGTGCAAGAGTGCAGCAAGTGGTATGGTTCACACTTGGTCAGTTTTCTAGTGTGAGGACATCGCTGTAACAGTTACAAGATAGAACACACACATACATTTACAATCACGCTCACACAGTGCAATTTCACTGAATCAGACAATACTTCTTCTCAGTTAAAAAGAAGAAGATTGTGTTTTGGCCATCCAGGCCTGAAATCTACTTAAGTCTGGAACATAACAAGGCAATGCACTTCAACTAAACAGCAACAGCACAGTGATAACATTGTACATTAAAATTGACACATGCTGTCTGAAGAGGTCCAGTGATAGCTAACATCTGAAGAAAGTCAGCAATGTCAGCCTTAAAAAGTCAATATGCTTTCTCTTTTCCATTTTGACTATAATCCATTACCAACTGAACAGCTGTGGTCCAGAAGATAGTAATCATCCTCATACGAAAATTCAGGCCTAACACAGTTTTAGTGTCCATGAATTCTGCTCAATACTTTGGATAGTCTTCAAAATCTTCTTGTTGTTTTAGCCAAAAAAAAGAAACCTTTTATGGTTATTTCTGTGTTAACTTCAGACATGGATACTGGAAGAAATACTAAAGTTTCTAAAATTGTATCATGGACAATAATACCATCTAAACAGGGATCACCCTGCTACATACCCACTCCCTATGCCATTGTTCTTATGAAGGTCTACCTTCTGGTTTTGCTAAACTAGACAAAATGACACAGTAAACACTGATACACAACTCACAGGACATAAAACATTTTACAAAGTATCTCTACTTTAGCACTATACTTATTGTAAAAATGTACTTTTTTATTCTATGGACAGACACATACCACATTATCTTGAAAGTTGTGGTTACAAAGGCATTACTCATTTCATGGTGTTTTTCTATGGATACTTAGACTTCAGATTTTGTAGCCAAAGGTTTCCATTCTATTTGAGAGACTCTGAAGGACCTGTGAGTAACTGAAGCAACAACAGGCTTTCTTCACTGTAAACCCCTGAAGAATGGAGTTTAAGTACCTAAACTATTGAGATGTCAGCGATCTGATAAATAAGCACAGTGACAGTCACTGTTTGCTAAACATGGTAAACTTTAAAAAAAAAAAAAAAAAAAGTATAACCAAGGGGACCACAGACTTCTAAATGTTAAGCTTAAAAAAAAAAAAAAAAAAAAAAAAAAACAGGAATTTCTTTTTCTGTGCAGCCACGAAAGCAGCAGGCTCACAGAGCCTCGGCAGACGTGTCTGTGGACACAGACATGGTCACCTTGGCGATCTTAACGGTGCTCTTGATGCAGCTTTCCGCGGCCCTGTGCATGCTGGCTGTGTTGTTGGCGTGCTTGTGCAGGCAGTCTGAGTCCCCCATGCTGTTATCTAGAGGCTGCGCAGTACCTTCGCATGAAGGAAACATGCTGCGGAAAGCATGTCTCAGGTCCTTGCTCCTCAGAGCGTAGATGATGGGGTTCACGGTGGAGTTCAGCAGGCAGAGCATACTACAGAAGGCAAACACCGTCTTGATAAGCTTATTCATCTTTCCAAAGACATCATATACCATGATTGCAAGCAGAGGGCCCCAGCAGATGATCAACACTACCAGTATCAGGACCAGGGTTTTTGCCAGCCTAATGTCCATGCGGGCTTGGTCGGGCCGAGTCACCTGCACCTTGCCATCTTCTGATGTGTGGATGATGATGCTCTTCTGGGTTCCACGTTGAATCATGCGGACTGCATGGCTGTGGGCCTTCCAGAGAATGTACATGTATGCATACACAATGAACAGCAGCAGCACGCTGGTAACCCCAATCCAGAACATCAGGTAGGTTTCATCAATGAGTGGGAAAATGTCGGAGCAAACAGATTGCAGCTTCTTGCAGTTCCAGCCAAGGAGAGGCAGCACAGCAATTACTATAGCAATAGTCCACATCAGACAAAAGGCCACCACGGCCTTGGGCCTGGTGACGATCCTCTTATAGGCCAGAGGCCTGTGAATGGATATGTACCTGTCGATAGCTGTGAGGAACAGGCTGCCCACAGAAGCTGTGAAGGAGGCGGTGACCCCACCCAATTTGAACAGAAACACATTGGGGCTGTCTTTACGGTGGAACACATGGAAGTCAACAAAGCTGTAGACAAAAATGACACTCCCCAGGAGGTCAGCCACCGCCAGACTGCCAATGAAGTGGTAGGAAGGCCTGCATCGAAGACTGCGAGAGTGCAGGATGACACACAGCACCAGCAGGTTCTCCAGAACCGTGAAGGTGCCCAGTGTGAGGGACAGCACGGCAATGGCCAGTTGCTGACTGGGGTTCAGAATCATGAAGCACTCCATGTCCATGAAGTTCTCCCCACACTGGATGTTCTCCTCATTCTCTTTGTATGACGAGAGGGACTTGTTGTAGAATTCTGTGATGTTTGTTGCGTCTACCACTGGCACCAATTGGGAGTTGTCTCCTGCAGTCATCTTTTCTTGGAAGGGACTACCCCTGAAGGAAGTCAGAGGGAATTTCTGAGGGAAGTATCCTAATTTGGATGCCATGTCTCCTTTGATGTCTTCGTACTGAATGTCATTTGAACCCACGTAGAGGAGGTCTGTGGTGATGGTGCGGAAGGTGGTATCTGCAAGGCCATCCAGGATCGACTTCATAACCTCAGTCTTCAATTAGGCCAGACTCACGGTGATGGAGAAAGAGATACCAGGAGAGAAGCCTAGTAGGAGGGAAAACAGAAAAGCTGAGTGGTAAGAAAGTCAGGAGGGTAAGAAACAGAAGCACTGGGCACCATAAATCAGTGTCGCCTCTGAACACAGAGGCTCAGTCAACACAATGAGTCAACTCAGAGAAGAGCTCCTCACCCCACAAAACAAAAACACCAGGAGATGGAGAGCCACACATCAGACACATGATTCTCATTTCTTAAAGTCTTTGAACCAAAGTCAGTGAGTCCTGCATGGACCTGCACAGTCAAATACACCAAGCTCAATGAAATAAAGTTCACTGTGTACAACATGGAAAGTGTTGGTCACTAGGCATCTACTATCAAGTATACAGAAATCTGTGATGATGTGGCTTGGGCAGCAAGCTCACAGAACAAAATCCCTGCCCTGTGATATACCCTAAAAGACAGGTGAGACTAAACAGGCAAGACAACCCAAACATGAAAGCATAGAAGCAAAGGTTGAGCTGTCCAGTTTAACCATGAAGGAGGACATTTATGACAACCAGAGGTAATTCCAAACCACAGTGGGAAGATGTTCTCCACCACTCATATTTACTCATCCATAGGAAGGGAGATTGAGATCAAGGCATGCCTGATAGGAACTTACAAAAATATCTATGCCAATCAGGCAAACAACACAAATACTGTGCAGAGGCGTATGGAATCCCAAGGTGAACATGAGGAAGGTGGTGATGATGAAGGGCACTTCAGGAAAGCACCCTCAGTGAGCTGACATGGAGGACAGGAGATAGCCCTGACGGCGTCCAGTGATTCCCAAGGAGACTGGGTTAGAAATGAGGATGACTAATACAATGCACCCTTCAACCCCAAGTTAAGCAATTTGGTGTTATTTTCAACATAAATAGCAAGAGAACTAATCTCACAATTCACAAATTCTTAAAAGATGTTTATTTATCTCTTTATAAAAATCCTTACAAATGCAGGGTGATACATGTGACAATTAAATTTGCTGTTTCTGTGTATAATGTATGAGAAGCTATTAGTTTTTGAAGCAAACTTTAAAAAAGTCTTTTTGCTAAAATACAGAGAACCTATCTGTCAGGGTAGTTAACTTATTAATATGCAATCTACTCAATAAATGAGAGGGCACCATGGCATATCACTCACTGCTCCAGACACTTAACAGATGAAGCCCTCGGGGACTCTGACATATACCAAGGGAGATGGTCAGCTAGCTCCACATCTACAGGCAAGGCGGCTGCCCCTGCTGGTGACAGTGCTGTGGAGCATCAAAGGGGGCTTCCTTAAGAAAGGATGCTACCCCACTATCTGTGATGACTATGGGAGGGGACAGGACACAACAAAGAGGACTTTCTAATTGTTACCTCAAATTTCACAATTTTTAAAAAGCAACTTTGGATAGGCATAAAGTGGTGGGCATGGCCCTCCTTCCACACTCTGCTGCCTCCAAGTCCAAGCCTTACCACTTCTTACGAGGGTCAGATCACAAGTGTAGCTTTCCTGGCCCCAGAACTGATCACTGTCACACACCTGCTGGAGGGATCCTCACAAACATATGAGGATTATATAACTCTTATTTCAACCTCGCTGTCCTAAAGACCAAACACAACTTGACACAAGTTCCCCTTCCAGGATCAAACAACCCAGGCGAGCCCCTGTCCTTCTGACCCTCTCTCAGTTGCTCTTCCTGAGTACATTCCAACTCCTTTGACCATCCATCGGCATGCTTCTTGGAGAAGTTCAGCACAAAGCCTTCCATGTTCCAACCCTCCTCCTTCCAGCCCCACCTCTCCTCAGCCAGGTCTCCCCAGTTGGGCTGTAGAGTTCAGTCACACACACACACACACTCCTGTGATTCTCACTGCCACTAATTCTCTTCCGTTCGAACATCCTCTTTCTCTCTCCCTGCTTGAGACCCCCACACCACCCTCACCAATTTGTTGCCTCTATTTCCCTTAGCTCACTGTTTGCCATACTCAGACAAAGCCCCATCTTTGGGGCTCTCTGAAAAATGAAACAATTCTATTACAGTATTTACCTGGTCTGCTTCTTGCTCCCAAACTCCAGCGAAAGTTCAATGAGGACCACACTGAGGGTTTTATCTTAGTGTTTAGTCATAGCTCAATGCATAGCACACAGAGATGCTGGCAAGAAAGATGCAGAAATAAGACCAAAGCCCAGCATCCACAAATGGCGCTTGATGCTCTTCAATTCCTTTATTAAATAAATAGCTCTTCTGAATTATCAGCCTCAGCCTGGTTGCAAGTAGCTCTCAGGTGTTTTCTAGTTCCCTCTTTGTATTTGTCTGTCATATCCTTTCCAGCATAATTGTTTCTTCACTAAAATGCCTGTGTGTCCTGTCTTATGAATCAGCTCTTGTACTTTGCAAATTTGTTTGTTGAACAATTCAATTTACATATGAAAACCTTTATCCAGATCAAAGGAATGTTGTAGAATTTCCCTATGTCTGTACTTTGTCCCCAACCCTGGGAGGTGACTCACTGGTCTTGAAATACACTAACATATTGGCACACCTTCCTCCTGCCCTTCTCTCTGTCTAAATGCTCACATATAAGTCTTCTATAGCTAGAAGGATCTCCCTAGACTGGAGCCAGAGCTACCCCTGTGTTAGTAGGCTTAACAAGCTCCCCTACCTGATTATTCTATCATCAACCTCATGACATCATTTATCTACTGCCATAAGCAGAATGCAATTTCCAAACAGAATGCTGCACTTTCTAACTGCCTTTAGTTATGGGTAGCAGGGAACTGGGCTCTCTGGGGAAATGCTCACCTGATCTTAGTAAGATGCCAATGGCCTTTCATTATCTGGCATATTGAATGTGATTTACTATTTATTTCCTTTACTCAAAATTAAAGAAAAGAAAGGTAGCTAATTTTGAGACTCCTAGGGCCCCACCCTTCAGGCATCTTCTCTCAGGCAACTAGTTCTTCACTCTTCCCAGGTAGAAGCTACCTTTGAAGATTTTCAAATTGTATGTGTGTTTTGTATTTAGAATTACAAGGTTCAAATTCACACAGTACAGAAAGATATACTATGATACCCCTATCCCTGTGTCTTAGAAATGCATCTCTTAGAGCTAGAGGGGTTCTTCTTACTCTTTCTAGAGGCAGTTCATACACATTCAAGTGCGTGTGCATGTGTGTGTATGTGTGTGTGTGTGTGTGTGTTTACCATTCCTCTAATTTTTTAGACAATATTTGCATGTACTGTATAACTTTTAGATGTGAACACCAAAAGGGCCTGGTAGATGAATGTGATCAACCCCCTATTGACAGGAAGCTCGGAGGCTTTCCTATCTTTTGTTACTACAGATAATGCTGCAATGACTTAATCCCAACCACTTTATTTTTCACATTGTTTATGCTATTGTGAGTGTTCTTTCTAGTCATCGTAACTCTTAGTTTGAACTTGCTGTGACACCACCCCTTTCTTGGCCTCTATAATAAGGTGTACCTCTTAAGTACCACCACCATCACTAACACACTTTGAAGTACACAGAAAGCTTATTATAATCAGGAGGCTCTTTGGGCTTTTTAAATGTATCAACACATTTTATTTCTATAATGCTTTATGAGGTATGAGGTAAATAATATACCATTAGCACATCTAGTAGGTGGTAGAGCTGGGGCTGAGCCTGGGTATGGACCTCATTTCAAGGGCTGAAAGTAACCAGAGGCTGCACACTGGATATTGTGGATACACAGTCCCTGCTTTTAACCATCTCTCTCTAAGCTAAGACAGACACTGATTTCCCCTCAGTTTCCCTACTGATTCCAATCAGTGAAGCTCTGGTGAATGGAGAGAAAATTGCTATAGGAATTGGCAGACCAGGGTGGATGTCAGGCTACATCCACTCAAGCAATGGTTCTAAGCCTTAGTGTTTCATCTACAAGCTAGGGATAACAATGATGGTAATGATACCTAAATCACAGAACTGTTCGGAAAATTAACTCAAAATAAATCCTACTTAGGCCTGGCACAAAAATAAGTCTTCAATAAACATTACTGTCCACACTACTTACTATTGATGGCTCATCACCATACACTACATACTAACTGCATTTCAAGAATATATAATATATACTAATTACTACATTATATAGTAATTGTATTTCAAGAAAATGCATTATCTTAATTCACTTATGTGCTGCTTATTCAGTCATATCCTTGTATCAGAACATAAGCATGAGGCAGAGAGACGACACAAGCATGCTGAGGAGGAGTCTGACAGCCTGTCAACTGTATTTAGGCATTGAGGAACTTACCTACATTCTATCAGTAAACTAACACAGTGGCTTCCAGGCACTTATTTCTTACCTGATTCCCCAGGCAAGAAGGAGACCATTAGATATTTAGTAAATTATCCAGAATACAAATGAGAACCCATATTCCAAGGACTCCACAATTTCTGCTGTAACAATATGCCTGCTTCAAGGTTTAACAGGAACTAGATCAAAGTTATTTTGAGTCTTGTATTCAAACTGTATCTACTCTTTAAAAAAATAAGTGAAGGCAATACAATAGTAACTAATGATAATTCCTAACAAATAGCTATTTCCTATCCCAGCCCCTCCAGGTAAGTCTGCCTCCTGGCCTGGCACCAAGGATTAAGAGCCAGCACTGGAGAGAATCAGGGTTTTCAGGGATGGACAAGGGTTCAGAACTCAAAACTGTCTCGAATGATCACCATGTATGACCACAATGCCTATGGTAATACAGCCAAACACTTTCATTCTGACAACAGTGTGTCAAATATAAGCCAGAGACTTTGCGAGCTAAAATGTTTGACTAATAGAAGTCAGAGAAGAGTTCAAACTGAATGGACTTTGTGAATTTTAGGATATCAGAACAACACTGTGTACAGGCTATTGCAGATGCTAATGAGAGGCACTGGGGGGTTGTTTTGGGGTTTGGGGGGTTTGTATTTGTTTTTGTTTTGTTTTTGCATCTTTGGAAGTCTTTTCTTTATTTCTACATTTGGATT